CAAGAGGACTAGGTCCTCACTTCGTCCCATTTGGGGAGTGACAGAATTCTAACAGGAACGGGACTTGTGACTCGACCTATAGGATTCCCAGGTTGAAGTGTAGCCTGTGCGCTGCACGCATCACACGTGCGCAAACTGTTACAGGCCATTAATTTAGCGTAGAAAAGAACTGAGTCAGCGGTTCTCTGAGAAATCATAGGATTCGCATGGAAAAGTGATGGATCATCGCTTTTCTCACTGCATGCTTTTTACTTGAATTGATAACGATCAACTTGTAGAAACTAGTCAACTATAGGCTTATAGTCTATATTCATTTATTTCTGTCATTCCTTCTTCATATCCAGAGACGATGTTGTCAATGGTGCTCATGAGCCAAACCATATCTTTATTCTTGCTGGCGGCCAGATGGCCATCAGTCGACTTGATCTTGTTTCGCATTGTCGTAGTTACGTTGCTCATGACTAGCTGAAACATAGCGACAGTGTTAGCCCGAAAAGCGTCCTTCCGATCTTCATATTTGTCCATCAACCGATCGTACGCTTTCACTTTTCTGGCGTCTGCCTCTTCTGCAGCCGTCATTGGATAAGGCTCCTTTATCTCGGGCTCCGCGTTTTCTTCCAGAACGTAACCCACATCACCTCCGTCCGCCCACCTGATGATCACTTTGTCAGTCAAGCTTGTCAGGAAATCCTCCAGGTCTTGCTCTGTTCCATCTTCCTTGGGCGCCTTCAATTGTTTGAGCCCCTTTACCGTAGTCAATCTGTATCCCATAGAGCTCATGGCGATATCTGATCTTTCTTCTACTTCTTTTTCTTTTCCAGTTTCCCACTTTCTTCAAGTTCTGTGGGATTCTCTTTATTGTTTGTGTTGCCGTCTTAACTGTGACAAACTTCCTTCCAAACGATTCAATTCTTCCAATCGTTTCCTGCCCTTTCTTAGGCTTCTTTAGCCCAGTGGTGCCACTTGCTCAACTTTGCAATTGAGAAGAAACCAGGCGAGACTCGGGTGGACCTCATGCGCACGATCCAAATGATGAATTCGGAGCTGCAGGCCAACAACAAGAGAGTGGGGAAATCGGCCATGGCCTACGCAGAGAAGCACAACTTGATCCCAAAAGGACAACATGGG